GGACTACAGCCCACGAAAGCTTATGCTCTAATAAATTTGTTAGTCTCTAAGGTGCCACAAGTACTCCTGTTCTTTTTGCGGATACAGACTAACACGGCTGCTACTCTGAAACCTGTCATTATAGGCTACACATCTTAATTCAACAAGGGTTTTGAGATTTCTCATTTAAATGGATTTTTCTCTTTATGTAGTATAGCTGACAACATTGCCGTCTGTTTTTTGTTTTGTTTTTAAGTTGAGGGAGCAGGAGATGAGACCCATGCATATGCCATGTCTTGTAATGTATTTCAGGATTCGAGTACCAACAGTGCTATTGCAGAAATCAGTAATAAAATTGATTCACAAATAGCCTCCTTAAAAACTCTCATGGAATCGAATAAACTGGAGACAATACGTTATTTGGCAGGTATGTTGGCGGGGAGGGGCATAAATACTGTAGTGTTTTTCAGAAACGTAAAATTTGATTCAAAGTGCGGGTTTTAGGAAGGTCAGTTCTTGGAAAGCTCCTTTGGTAGCCTGGTCATAATTCCTAAGTTCGTTCACATTAAAATATGCGCAGCAAACAAAATGAGTATGTGTATATACATAATTATGAAGATAAAACCATAGATGTACCTCACAAGAGGACAAATTAAAGATATGGTCTCTAGGCCGAAGAGTTTAGTCTCATGTCGGGTGTGGTAAGGGATCAAGTAAATGATGGGAAAGATTGAAGCAAAAGGAGGTCAAGAGATCATTTGTTCTGCTAGTGAACATCTCTTGTTTAGCTTTAATCAAAATTTACAAAAGGATTATTTGACATAAGATCATGAGTCAGCAGAAAACTTGAGGGGGTTTGTCACCAACTTCAGTGAGATCACGATTGGGCCCAAAATTGGGATAGAAGTGACATGAGTACAGGATATAAAAACTGCTTCCCAGGACATCCATCCTTGCCGCAGTTAGCGAGCCCCTGCTGCAGAAGTGCCCCAGTGAAAACCATCCTGAGCCCCCCTCAGCTACCAAAGAATTGTTCTGGGGCTTAAAGCTCATCTATAGGGAATGAAGTGGCACATTCACATATCCATATGGTCTGATGTGGTAGTAGTTTGAGTTGGCTTGCTCTAAAAAGTCTTAAAAGCTTATGACTTCTACTGCAGGGACATACTGATACGTAGGGAGATCTCGACCTTGATCAATGTACCTTAACCACAGCAGCAGTAAACTTCCCAGTCAAGTTTTCAAAGAAACATACTTTCAATTTGGTAATTTATGTAAGCTTTAAAGAAAACAAATTGAACTCAGATGAGATTGTGAAATGAATCTGCCTGTAGACAGGGAAAATTACACAGAATTGGAGGTGGGTGAAAGGGAAATAACCAAACAATTGTGGTAGTGAGAAAGCAAGTCCAACAATAAGAACTAAACATGGTTAACCCCCTCTTAACATAATGGCCATACTGGATCAGACTAAAGGTCCATCCAGCCCAGTATCCTGTCTACTGACAGTGGCCAATGCCAGGTGCCCCAGAGGGAGTGAACCTAACAGGTAATGATCAAGAGATCTCTCTCCTTCCATCCATCTCCACCCTTTGACAAACAGAGGCTAGGGACACCATTCCTTACCCATCCTGGCTAATAGCCATTAATGGACTTAACCTCCATGAATTTATCTAGTTCTCTTTTAAACCCTGTTATAGTCCTAGCCTTCACAACTTCCTCAGGCAAGGACTTCCACAGGTTGACTGTGTACTGTGTGAAGAACTTCCTTTTATTTGTTTTAAACCTGCTGCCCATTAATTTCATTTGGTGGCCCCTAGTTCTTATATTATGGGAACATGTAAATAACTTTTCCTTATTCACTTTCTCCAAATCACTCATGATTTTATATACCTCTATCATATCCCCCCTTAGTCTCCTCTTTTCTAAGCTGAAAAGTCCTAGCCTCTTTAATCTCTCCTCATGTGGGACCCGTTCCAAACCCCTAATCATTTTAATTGCCCTTCTCTGAACCTTTGCTAAACTGCTGGTTTGACTAATCTAGAAAGAGTTGTTGAGATTTCACACATTCTGCTCTTAGCTACCCTGAGATTGTACCAGTTATGTGTATTTTTAACTGAGTTCTCTCTCTTGGTTTGAAAAAAATTTTTATTGTGTAATGAAAATTTGTCATAACTGCCCCAACCCCTAAAATAGTTTTTGTACAGAAAGGGTTGAAACGTAGAGAGAAGCACTTTTAAAATGTCTCGTATCATGTAGAGTTCTATACATCCTTCTATCTGTGGCAAAAATGAATTCCTTGTATGTAACACAAGGCGATATTGAGTGTTACATTAATTATTTCCTTTCTTTTTACAGCTTCTGTTTTCACTTGCCTAGCAATAGCACTGGGATTTTATAGGTTTTGGAAATAGACCCAGAGGAACTACTGCACTACAAATAGAGGAAGAAAAGGCTGCCCACATCATGGAACATCTATTAGGTCATACTGTGTTCACTACTGTGGATATTCTTAGTGCCTTTGTTCTTATATTAATTCTTAATGCGTACTAAAAAATATTCTTTTTAATAATAAAGGTCAAAATAGTTAGGGGCAATAATAGGAACCTTTCCTTAACTCCTAATGGATTCTTCAGTGGCCTTTTTTCAAAAACCTCATACAGAAGAAACACTGAATCTGTGTTTATATAAAATCAGAAAGTTTTTTGGCATAGGAACCAAAGAACATGTCCCATGATTCATTTTGGAAAGGTTCTGTTCCCACGTCCCTGCCAAAGAAAAGTATTTACCATCTGATGTGACCAAATGCAAGGAGCTATCCTGCTCTGAAACTTCTGTGCATCTTAAACTACGGGAGCTGCATGTTTGTGTTCCATCCCGATTCTCCTCTCTCCGCTGGGTGAGGTATGTCCATCTTTATAAAATTGTTAAAATAAAGCCTTTTCAAAAGGATCCCTTTCCCAGCATAAAGCTGAATCGTATGGATTAAAAATGACCAGTAGCTGAAAGACTAAAATGCCCACCCCTTCTTTGACAGTTTCCTCCACCCATACAACCAAACAATTTTTTAATTCCCTTGTCTAAGGGGAAATGTCACATTGGCAACGTGTGTGTAAAACTAACTCCCTGAGCAAGACAAAGGTGGTGGTGTTTTTTTGACTCCTTTCCGTTGCTGGAGATACAGAACTCCCCTATATGGTCCATATTCTTTACCTGAAAGCAGAATCTGCCTTGAAATGTGGAAATGTTACATTTCTTCCATGAAACTGCTGATGCTCCTGCGCCCAGATCCCTCTGGAAAGCAGGCGAGCACCACAATCCTTGGGAAATAAATTGGTCCCATTGACTGTCCTAAACCAAACTTAGATCATGATCTCTTTACCTTCTGCCAATGGCTGATAAATTTCAACATAAAGACATGACAGGATGGGATGATATTTTTGCAGCGTTTAAGCAACCAATCGTATTTTATTTAAGTCCTTGTCACAAGAGATTATTTTTCGTCACAAGTGTAATTAAGTAACCGGGCTGATGCTTAGTTCCGTTCATTACAGGTAACTGTGTTGAGCAAATTTTAACTCTGAGTAGTCTCTGTACAGGGGAGAGAGGTTTTGTATATAGTACTGTATAGAGGCATTTTCAGGTGACTCTATCTTACTGTTTACAAATTGAATTTGCTAGTGTCCTGTGAATTTTATGTTCTCTGTATGAAATTCTGTATTTAAACAGTCCCTTGTAGCATAATAAAATTGTTACATTGCTGTCCAAGAACTTTGAGTACAATTTACCAATTTGTAAAACTGAGATAACATCTGACAGTAAGAATAGTTATTCTCCTAAGAGCTGAGGCTACTTTATTTATGTATTTTCCTTGTATGTGCTCTGTACCTAGAGAATTAATTACTTTTTCATCCCTTTGTATGATGGGTTTAGATGTGTTACAAGGTTTTAGAGAATCACTTGAGCCTATTCTAAACACCATATTTATAGTTAGAGGTCTACTTAAATCACAGAACAATCACACATTTTTCGCAGGTTGGTCATGGCATAAATAGCAAATTTCGCAGATGTTTATGCCATGACCAACCTACAGCAGATTTCTCCGCAGTGTTTCTCAAGCTGGGGGCCGCAGCCCAAAAAGGGGTTGCAAGCCTGTTGTAGGGGGCTTATGGTACTGCCACCCTTACTCCAGCAGCTGCCCCACCTGAAGCTGGGCGGCGGGAAAGTGGCAGCTGCTGGCTGGGTGCCCAGCTCTGAAGGCCGTTCCCTCACCAGTAGCAGCAGAGAAATAAGGGTGACATGGCATTGCCAGCCTTACTTCTGTGCTGCTGGTGACAGCACTGCCTTCAGAGCTGGGTGCCCGGCCAGCAGCCACTGCTCTCCACTCTCCCTTAAGATTGGGCAGCCAGAGACCAGTTTTCATGGTACATGACTTGATTTTCATGACTGTGAATTTGGTAGACCCCTATTTATAGTATTCATCTTCCAGTGTACCTCAACCATTTCCATTTGCAGCATCCACCTCTAACTGATCCACTTAGGGTTCTTTGCAGTGATTAATACTACACAAATATTTGACACCAAAAATGGCTGTGGGCATATCTGGTAATCACATCTGCAGTTCTCTTCCACAGATCATGATTCATTTGCTCTCAATAGGTAGAACCCAGGAGTTGCATTTCCCCCTGCCCTTACCTGCTCCTCAGTAATGGCTAATCAGCTTTAAGGTTTGGTATCTGCCAAACTGGCATACTGTAAGGAAAGATAGTTACATGTCTGAATTGGGCATAAGGGAATCTGAATTTAGGGCATCTGGAAGAAAGGGCAAGTAACTCCAAGTTAGACTCTCCTCTGAAATTGACCCATAATCTTTATTACCCAAAGAATCCTCAAAATAGAGCAATCATCACCTCCTGTTCCTTAAACATTCCTTCCCCCGTACATGACTGTTCTTCTCATGAAAGGCAACATTTTTCTTTAATTCTTTGTTCCCCCTTCATAATCATTTGTTAGTCTTCCCTAATGGCATGGAATTGAGTAAATTCCTACTCTGGAAATATAGGTTTGTTGAATGGAATATGTTATTTCCATGTGCAGCACTATCATTAAAACCAATGTAAGTTTTGAGAACAGCCTGATGGCAGGCTTGGGCTTAATGGCTGCAGAGGTAAATTGGGATCTAGGGAGCATTAGCTGTTTGGAATTTTCTGTCTGATTATTGTAAGTTTTCTGTCATAGAACTTCTCTTTTATTCACCAGCTTCCCTCAGCTTTCAGAGTTGTGTTTTCTTGGCTTGTTTGTTTCTTGATTCTGCAGAATCTTTGTATATGGAGTGCTTGAGTTAAATTTAAAAGGTCTTTCTCCACTGCTCATCCTACTTTTGCAAAATAAATGGCCATTCCAGCAAAGTGTTGAAGTCAACGTGAGTCATTGGGCAGCAAGTTGTATGCTTGGGGCCTACGTTTTATGGTGTATTTTCCTGACATGCTGCTGCTGCTACGTGCTACAAGGGCCTCTCCACAAAACTTCCCCTTAGCCTGTGATTAACCTTGCATCCAGGGCAAGTATATCCTCAGACATTAGGGACTGGAGCCCTATACGTTTGTTTTCCCATTCAAACAAAGCTGATTTCTCCTAACTATAACTATGGGAGGAGGCAGCACCGCTGTATTAAATGCATTTGCTGGACTTGTGTGTTTTATATAGTCCTGAAAACTATTCTACATATATTGGTAATAGTGTCCAGGTTTTGGCTTCTTGTACTAAGTTTGGGTGAGGGAGCTATAGGTTGTAGAGTTGTCAGAGGGCTGCAGAAAATATTTTGGAAAATACCTGCCCTTTGATGTAATATGATGTGTTCAAAAGGCAAAAGATTTTCTTTTGACAGTATTTTGATGACCCCTAAGAAAAGTAGTGTCAGCCTCAGGTGATTAGTCAGAAAAGTGAACTCCCTCAAATGCAGGGAAATCACCCTAATCTTCCCTTCAGTTTGATAGCAGGATTTTCACAAGAGATTGTGAGAAGGAGCCTCTTTGAGCATATCCCTGCTACATTTAATTCATTTGTAGAGTGAAATCTGAGCTTACATTTAATACCTCTGTACGGACCAGCCAAAAGTCAGGATTGTTCTATGAATGTTTTAATTCAGAAGTATAGCTACTTTATGTGACACTTTGGATTATAAAGTATTGCAAATGCAGCACAATCACAACTAAGGGCCAAATTCTCCTTCCTCTGACTGCTCTAGTCTTCTTGCTATCAATGTTTTTTACACAGCTGTAATTTGGTCCTGAGTGTCTGAGGGGTCTGGATAGAAAAACTGTCAACTCCTTTGTTCCCCCTTAAACTGAAACCTTATTCCTCATTCAGCGAAATCGGTGTAAGGGAGTTTGCTGTTAAGTGATGACCATGTGAGGAGTTGGCACAGCCTGATTATTTACACAAGCAGGTATTTGTAGGATGTAAATATTGTCCTTAAGTTGCCCCATCTCTTTTCCTTTTGTCATTTGAATTACTTTTTCATATAAGTGACATATGAAAGATGTCAATATCTATGTCTTAGTGAAAGACATGGAAGAGTTTGGATAAACAAGAATACTTGGTCTGGAGGTTCAGTTAGAGCAGGGGTCTCAAACACGTGGCCCGCGGAGCTGTTCCCTGTGGCCCGCCAAGCTCTCTGCGTGTGTTTTCCCCCCCCCCCCCCCCCCCGTAGGTTTA